AGTGACATCCTCAAATGTCTTGTTTAGTCTACAACCCAAATATATTCAGTTTACTGTCAGAGAGGAGCAAAGAAACCAGAAAATATTCACATTAATCGACTATTCAATTAATCGTTGCAGCTCTAAACCTAACCAAGTAGTTTTGTTGCCTAAACCTAACCAAACTAACAAACAAAAACAAACTAAAAAACTGTTTTAGCATCATGTGACTTAAGTCATGTGATTTAACTAACGTGCTTATAGTCTGTTAAGCCGGTTTGGGTAACAGTCACTAACAATTCAGCACAACATTTCTTTTGTTGAAGAAAAGGGACTAAAAAAATATTTTACTTAATTTTACTTCTGCATATTTGTTGAAAAGATTTTAACATAATAGTTTTGAATGTTGTACCTCAGATTTGTTTATTGATCCACTGTTTTTATTTATCAATATCAAATGTTATATGAAATTTTTTTGAAGTGATAACATTAATGGCCATATCACCCAGCTCAAATTTAATTGTGTTACATAAAAAATTAAGCCCTACTGACGAGGGGTGAAATGTCTAAAGCAGAAGAATCTAAAGTCCAGCTGCCTTTTGAGTTGTAGACAACTCATGATGCTTTCTTCTACCTAACAGACCAAACTCCATGTAAAAATCTGGAGATTCTCAGGTCTGACTGCAGATCAGTTTCTGCTGTTCAGAACTCAACATCTCTGTCGGAGCACCGATGTCACCGCTCCTTATCTCAACCACAGATTTAGACCGGTGACTAATCATCAGCTCGTTAATCAATCTGCACACCAAACACCAAAACATGCGCGCGCACACACACACACACACACACACACCTGCCTCCTGAGAGCATCCATTGTTTTTCTGGATGTAACCCTGGGAGCACCTGAATGTGTGTGTGTGTGTGTGTGTGTGTGTGTGCGTCAGTTGTCTGGTTGCTGTGGTAACTGAGCTCGGAGGGGAGTGCAAACATGTCATCATCAGCAGGGACGTTGCTACGGTTACCCGCCTGCCCACATTCATCTGACGCCACTTCCTGTGCGGAGGCAGGTAGCGGGGAAAACACCGCCGACTGAAGCAGCAGCATCATCAGAGCTGCAGAAATTCATCTGCCCTCATCTCACAGAACACAAGTGTGTGTGTGTGTATATATGTATATATATATACTGTATATATATACATATATATATACATAGTATATATACTGCCTCGTACTAGATCAGAAAGGAAGACAAAATATAAATAAACAGAGAGGGAGAAAAATGACAACCTTCATGTTCTCGGTTCAAGACGTTGCAATAACTCGAGCTGGACAAGTGACACGTTCAAAGGCTGAATGAAACCTTTCATACACAAACTGCAAGATGAAAATGATGAATGTGAAATTATAATATGTAAAAACAATCATTTAAATTGAGCATTTCAACGTGGAATCTCCCCAATGTCGACTTCCGTACTGTTCTGTTTCGCGGGCATGTCTCAGTTATTCAGGAAACTTTGGCTCTCGTGAGTAAAGCCAGTAACTTAAACCTGCGTCCTCTCCAGCAGCCAGCAGGGGGCGACTCCAGCGGCTGCAGAAAGAAACTGTTTCTACTTGTCAGCTGATTTATTCCCTCAGTAAACACTTTCCTGATGAGTTTATGGTCTCAGTCGCTAGTTTCAAGTCTTCTTCAACACAGCATGATGTTCATTTAGTAAATTATGGTCCCATTTAGAGGAACAGAGACCAGGAAGCAGGGGAGGCGTCAGGGCGGGATTATCTACGATTGACAAGTCGCTACCATGACGACATTTAGTTTTAAGCCTGTTGTTCTCTAGACAAAATTATCAGCCCTGTTAAAAGTTAACGTGAATTACAGATGCACCTAGCTAAGCAAGCTAGCTAGCTCCGCACACGGCCGTTAGCTCCACCGTCTTGTCCAAATATGGTCACGTCCGGTGCCGCTGGTTACAAAAAAACATGGCAGCGCCACAAACCACCGGGTGACGTCACGATGACTACGTCCACTTCTTATATACAGTCTATGGTGTGAACGAAACACATCGTCATGGTCTAGTGAAATGCATCTTGGGAGTCGTAGTTGACTTCACTCCTTCAGGTTTTATTTTCACAGACTTTCTGTAGCTTTGACTTTTTATCAAAGAAGGCAGATGCTTTTGTTCTGAACACTGTTGTAGTTCTTGGATTTTGTTAGTTCTGTATTATTTTGTTAAATCCTTCATCAAGTGTTTATGTGTGCTTCCTGTCTTTCTGGTTTCTCAGATGTTAGGTCAAATTTGCAAGTCGTACTGAATTCCCGGAGATCTGTTGAATTAGTGTTAATAGTTGCGATCGCGACATCATAGATCCTGGAGGGACTGACTAATGATTGAACTATAAGTCTAAAGTTAAAAACATCACATCTGCCTTTGCTGTTTTAACTTATTTCCACAATTTCGTTGCAACACCCAAGAACATCGCAACTTTTATCACAATTTAAAAAGCTGCCGCAAAACGTCAGAAATGGCCCGCAAGATCCTGAAGGGACTGAATAATATGCAAAGCGTGGTGTCGGTGCGCAAAGTTTAGCCTGAGGGAGAAGCTGCAGGCAAATCAGTGTTGTTAAATAAATGAAATCAGTTGTCCTCATGGCACATGTCTTATAAATGTGGAATAATCAAAACACATGCGTCATGAGCTTTTATACTGGCGTCTGGATGGAGGTGGGGTTTCTACGTTCCACTGTGTTGAGTTTCTTCTTCGTTGGAGTAGGCTGCTACCAACAATGGCGACCGAGAGTGTTGGAGCTGGAGCTGATCGGTGTTGAGAACACATTCTCACTCCCAAGTCGTCACATATGGACACATGGTCGAGACCTGTTGGTGTCAGTTTGTACTCTGGGGAGCCCCTTAGCATCATACTTCAACGCACTGGGGGATAACCTGTCGCGTCACCTTTGAACACTAAAGGTAGGTGTGGTCAGAGTAAGGAGGTGGTTGGAGTGGACGGACGGCCAGGAGACCGGTGTCCAGCCAAAAACGGCAAAAACGAAGTCCTAAAACGGAGAAGTGTGAAAACGCTGCCGACCAAATTTTTTGTTTTGAAACTCCGGCAACATTTTAGTGCGGACCGGCAAAAACGGAGGACTTTAGAAACGATGACGCAGACGCTCACACTCGGCTCTCTGATTGGGTCTCATAAGTCGTGCAAAGCAGAAACACGATGCTGCTGACGGAGTTTTTGATTTGGTATTTTTATTAAAATATTCTGTACCGTGTAAATAACTCTTACAGCCTGCAATTGTACTGTGCATGACGCTGTATTTACTTTGCGTCGACTCCCAGTCTGTTTTCCGCCCCATTCATTCTTTCACCAAATCTTCTGTAACTACAGAACAGACCATCTGCTTCATGTTTACACCGGCACGCACAGTGTACGTGAACGACCTCTAGACGTGCGTATTCAGTCGTTTTAATGTAAAGAAAGATCAACTCTGCAGATCGTAGTCGTTTTAAAACTCCGTTTTTAAACTAAAACGCAGTAGTGTGGATGGAGCTGACCAAGCGTCCGAATATGACGAGTTGGGATGAGAATGCGATGTTGAACAGCAGCTACTTTCAGGGAAATGACTAAAAGGCAGAAAGGAGAGAAGGCTTCAGAGGAGATGTACGACCCTTCAACCGGTTGAGGCAGAAGAATAAGCTGGAAATGCGAAGCTACCGAGCTGACCAATCACAGATCTTACGGTCTGCGTTGACGCGACGTGTAGTTACATTTTTGGAGGTGTGCGTCAGACGTACAACGGGCAGCCTGCAGTGTTAACATGCTACCACAAGTTAGCATTTTTCCTGCCATCTAAAATAAGAACGTGTGAACTTCATAACATCAGACTGAAGTAAAAAGACTCTCACCACAGTTTCACACCTTCACTTCCTCACATTCTTCTCAGTCACAGTTTCTACTTCCACGTTTAATATTCTCCAGTTCATTTCCTACATTTCTTCACGCTGTCTGGTTTTGTTTTTCTGTTGCAGCTTCCATCTACTAAAATATTATAGATAAATGTAAAGTGTTTTACCATTATTATCATATATATATTGGAACAAAATCTAAAGTCTTGATGTTAAGTGATCAAGAGGAGATTTATTTCATCCTAATGTAATCACTGTATCGTACTGTACTAACATCAGCAGTGACAGTATCGGTTCTGGATTAGCTGCAGTAGAAGTAACAGTAGTGACCTCGCAGTAATACCTGTAATAATAATTATTAGTGTAATCAGAACTGAGGTGTCTTTAAGAAAGTATTAATTAGGTTACATTTGATGATGATTCTTGTAAGGAGTATATGTCTTCAGCATTTATTTATTATATAATAACATATTGTAATAAAATCTAATCCATCGATCAAGAGGAAAATAAGTTTGACAGCATCCTAATGTGATAATCAATCCTAGTGTGGCGGTGGTAGTATTAGTTATTGATTAGCTGTAGTACCAGTAATTATAATAATTACTTTTTTTGCTTTTACTGGAGTGTGTTTTTATTTGTAGCCTGCTGGAGGAAAGAATCTGAATAATATTGTTCTGATTATTAATAATGATCGATAGGAAAACATTCCTGCGCTGACTCCTGCGGTGATGGTGATATTTAACAGACTGTCGTGCTCTCTGTCGTCACGCACACACGCACGCACACACGCACGCACACAGCTGACCCGCTGCTTTGTTCTCCATCAGCTGCAGACTCTCATTATCTCCTCACATCATGTTAATCAGTTTGACTCCGCTCAATAGTAAGGCCGGCTCGGGCTCGGGCTCGGGCACGCGCAGCCTGAAGCTTTGTTGAACGTGCACACACGCGCACGCACACACACACACACACGCACAGTGATGAAATTAGAGATCCAGGAACACCGAACCGGTTTGTCAAATCAGACCGACGGTGGTGTCCCGCCGCCGGGCTGCGGTCCCTCCGCTCCCCGCTGTGTGTGCGTGAGAGTCGGTGTGATGTGTGCGCACTCACCGTGTCTCCGCGGAGCGTCGGTCTCTCTGTGTGCGCGGTTTGTCTAGTGAGGAGCGCGTGTGAGCATCCTGAACCCTCCGCTCTCTGACTCACAGCATCAGCATCATCATCATCATCAGACCTGCTGCTGATCAGCACACATCGGCACTCCTCCTCCTCCTCCTCCTCCCTCCATCATCATCATCACCTCCTGCCTACGCTCCGATGGCAAAAACAAGAAAAAGACTTCCGCTTTTGCTTTTCAGAATAAAAGCCGGGCTTCTATAAACCGACAGAGCTCATTTTTCTCTTAGAGCTTTTGATTTATTGATCAAATGATATTGATTTGTTGAAAGAGAATTTCAACAGCACAAAAAAATGCTTCTGATATAAACCCCAGCTTTAAGACCAGACACCAGTCAGACAGGCTCTCCCCCTCAAAACTTTACAAACAGAAAGTAAACAGGATTTTTTGAATGCGGTATTTCCTCTTTAAATATGCAAATATACAAATCACATACATCTATTTTCCAGCACATTGATAAGAGTCAGATATATGCTTTTTGGTTTTGTTGTGATAATATACCAAATGTCCAGACATTTACAGAATGGTTCATCAAAATATTGTTTTTTCATGGATTATGAATATTGGCTACCATTCACGTGTGACAGACCCTTTTTTCCACATATTTACAGATAAAGATATGAAAGATATTTAAAAGAAACCTCTGTAAACGTCTCGCTATAAGAAACAGTGTGTATTATGATTTAACTTGGAGGGCGAGGAAAATGTCTAAACGTACAGGAAACATGTCATTTTGAGAAAACGACTGTTAAAGATTTATTAACACAGTATCAATCACATGAACACATCTCTTGTAGATGAACTAGCTAACGTTGTGCTCTAGAAAACAAACTTTCAATCACTTTCAATACGGAGAGTTTTAAAAAATACCATTTGAACATTTAAATTTAAAATACTAGGATGAAATTTTCTTGATCTGTCAAAATGCTTAATAACTTAAAAAAGATGAATAAGGTAAATTCAAACATTTAATAAGACCCTAAATTCAGGTATTTAATAATAATAATAATAAACCTTATTCATGCAGCACCATAGTTTAACAAGCTGCATTGAAACCCCATTGTGTTGCAAGAATGCTGCTTTTTAATAGCGGGGGTTTATATTTATATACACGTCACTGAAAACATACCTTCACTCTATTTCAAGGAAACATGTCGTTCAATCCAAAAAAGTTGAACTCACCCCTGTTTCCAGATTGAACTTGCCCCTGGATTCAAATCAAGAATCATACACAAACAAAATACCCAACAATAAAAAAACAATAAGAAGTAAACAAGCAAGACGTGTTGGGAACAAAATGGCGTGCTGGCATTAATAAAATGGTTTGAGATGTGACAGATGTCACTGATATTGGAGTCTATAGGGCAGCGTTCATCCTGAAAATAGTTTCCATGTTTCCTCAAAATGGTGCCCCCGGCCTCTGAGGAACATTTTCATCTCGTCTGGTGGGTGTGTCAAAGGTGTTACCCAATACGCAGTGAGGTGTGGACAGACCCGGCCTTATTAAAAAAGGCAGTGCAGAGGGCGTTGAACGCAGCACCCTTTATTTAAATAAACGCTGTGTTTCAGCTCTGGTTTGGTTGTAAGAGTATAATGTTCTTATGTCATGTGATATTTTAATGTCAGAAATCTGTGAACCAGCAAAATAAAATTAAAATGAACTTGTGTTCTCACTCTTATTTTGAAGGCTGTAACTGCTGAGCGGAAGTGTTATTTTCAGCCTCCACCCTGGCACCTCATCATCCTCCTCCTCCTGCAAAGTAAAAATACATTTTCCCTCCACACCTTCACCTCCATCAGCGTCACTCAGAGACGTCAGCAACAGAATTATACTAAAGCATGAAATCCCAGTAGATTAGAGACAGGTTACTAAATAACTGTTCATTAGGATATTAATGGCATTAATGAAATGTAGAGTATATATATATATATATATATATACTTTGTTGAAGAATTATTGTGAGCCAGGTTCAGGTGTGAAGAGGTTTCGGAGACTGATGAAGACTTAACATAGCATTATTTACTGAGCCCGGCCGACATGTGAACGCATCAAATGCCAACACCAAATCTGAAGGAGAACGTCTTTTGGTCGCTTTTATGTTTCTGTCTTCCCCCTAGTGCCTTTAGGTTTCTTTATTGGGTCATCTTTAGCTGGCCTTAACCTAGAAATAGCTAAATTACTCTAAGCTAGACCTGTCTTACCTTTCCCTGTTACATCAACAAAGCCCCTTCAGAAATATTCTCAACATACTTCAAATAGATAGATCTCATTATGTTTCATTGGTTGGTATAACACAAACTGTATATTTTAGCAGAAGACAGTGAGAGAGAATAATTTTCACCCTTTAAACGTGTGAATCATATCATCTTTTATTCATGGTTCACAAAATCACTCAAAACATTTGTCCTTTCCAATCAGAGAAAAATGATGTTGTGAGCGTCAGTATTATCTATTACATTATTGTGAAGCCACTATTTGATGTTCCCAGCTGAAGCTGTCAGATAAATGTAGTGGACTAAAAATGTGATGTAGTAGGAGTAGAAGTTTGAAAAGTTCCTCAAATTTGTAGTTGAGTAAATGTACCTATGTAATCCAGCAGACGTCAGCTTCACTGAGCAGAAATAATTGTTTAAAAAATGAGAAAATTATGAATTTAAAGCATTTTGGAGTGAAAGTCGTCATATTTGATTCCTACATGGAGGAAATATAATATAAATAAAAATATAATAAATTTTTACCTGCAACACACACAGAGACAGAACAGCTGTAAACAAGGCGGACAAGCAGAGGAAGTACTCAGAACCTTTACTGCAGTAAAAGTTGTGAAATTACTCCACTCCAAGTAAAGTCTTGCATTCAAACCTTACTTAAGTAAAAGTACTTTATGTATTATCAGCTAAATGTAGTTAAAATGTTCCTCTTAGTGTTTCTCTATTATATCTGATGTTTCTGGATTAATATTCCCGTTGCATTAATGTGGATGTCGATGTTTTAACTCCTGCATATCCTGTTGGCTAGTTTAACCTGCAGCAATGCATCATGGTCTATCTATAACATCATGTGTTTGTAGCATCACTGTGAAGGAGGAGGAGGATTTTCTCAGCCCATAAAGGAACTTTTCATCCTGCAGGTTATTACCAACACCTGGAGATACGGGGTTTTCAATGAGCAGGACAACTTTAATCTGAAAACTGAAGCTGTAAAAAGTACAATATTACCTCTGAGGTGGAGTAGAATTATGAAAAGTACCTCAAATTTGCACTTTAGTAATTACTAAATGTACTTAATTATTTTCCACCACTGAGGAGAAGTTTCAAAATCAACCAGTCCAGCAGACGTCAGTCGTTTTGTGAGTTCCAGCAGAACTCATCTTTTAAAAATGAAGAGTTTGGAGTGAAATATTCTCTTATCACTGATAGTAATAATAAAATGTGCTGCAGTCTGTTGAGATGTGACCTGAGCTCTGACTTCACCCTCCTGCTGATGTTACGTAAGTTCAGGCTGACAGCAGAGATCAATAACTGATTGATTCTGGTCACATTGGGGGAACCTGGAGTGGGCGACAGATAATAAGCTATAAAAATTTAAATTAAATTAAATTCCTAAATTAAATTCAGGAAATGTTTCTGTAAATCTCACTCTCAAATCAAAGGTATGTGATGAAGCTGATCCCCCCAAAACAAACCTGTGGCGTCCCCTAGTGGTGGGTTGAAGTACCGCAAAGAGGAAACACTGAAAGCTGCTGGAATAATAACATAGGTGTCATTTACACTGTGGACGCTGGGGACATGTCCCCATCACTTTTCGAAACAAGCTGCTGATTTCTGCATTATATTCCATTATAGCTTTATATTTTTAATTGTCACCTGCCGGCTGAACCTTGTGTTTCCCTTTACCATAAAATGGAGCAGATATATATATTTCTCCAGAATGCAGGAAATTATGTGTTTAATGCTCAGTTGTTTTCTGGTGAGACCCACAGTACCCCCCTTACACAAATTATTGTTAATATTGTTATTATTAATTATTATAATGATGATAATACATTAATTTACATACCCTATGATATTTATTAAATAAAACACTGACTTATAAGAGGAAAAAAGAGTGAAATGGAAGGAGTCAAAGACAAGGTGATGATTCAGTTAGACAGATGCATTTTATATATTGATTATATTATATTTCTATTGTTTCTTTATGATAATTGTTTGTTAGCTAAGTTGTTTATTTGTATTAATTAAGTTATAAGTTGTGGTTTGTAATAAATAAACGCGCAGTACTAGGACCAGCAAGTAAAGGTATGTTAATAAAAATAGTTTTTGATATTTATTTAGGATAAATTATTTGTTGTATTAATCGAGTAGCCTAATAAAAAAAAAATTAGTTTTTAGATTAATCAACTCATCGAACAAATGCTGGTTGGGTTAGGGCTGGACCATATGGTCAAAAATGTTATCATGATAAAAAGTTTCATATCTTTCCATATCGATAATCATCACAATAAATATCAAATCGTTCTTTCTTTTGAGTTTAAAGGCTGATTTTTGCTCCTGAGTGAAAGTTGTGGTTTAAACTCTTCTTTCTGGTCAACACTTGAGGCCAAACAGAGGATCACTTCACAAATCTGAGGCAGAACATTCTAAACAATTATGATCAAATCTTTGCCAACAAATGAAGTAAAAGCTTTTAATTAAGTCCTCATTCCTGTATGATTCAAGTGAATAACATCAAACATTTATTTAATATTTATGGAACATTCTGTAATATTGTTATTGTTTTATTGTCCAGCCCCCCCCTCTCTCTCCCCCTCTTCCCCCCTCCCCTCCTTCTCTCTCTCCCCCTCCCCTCCTTCTCTCTCTCCCCCCTCCCCTCCTTCTCTCTCTCTCCCCCTCTTCC